GGTCACACCCTCCAGTTTCAAAAGGGTCAGAATCAAAGCCGTTATACTCCTCCAGTTCGGCATACCAGGACTGCAAGGGAGACTTGTGCTCTCCCTGTTCTCTTAGCAACGGCTTGTCCAGTCTACAGTGTCCCCCAACCTCTCCTGGCTCAAAGATATTCTCTCTAAAGCTATAAAGAAATATTTAGTCTAGAGTAATGGAGTGTTTTGCATTCAGTGCGACCTCCTGTAAGTGTCGCCTTGTCTTGTGGCGAACTCATCAAATCTTCTCAAGTCCAAATAAAAGTTTTTGGCTTTGCAGTATCTAGCATTGGAAGAGCAAATGAGACTAGAGCCATTCTAAGGGAGGGAGGGGAGAGAGAGGGGGAGGGGGAGGAGAGGGTCTCTCTAGATCTCTACTACTACACTACATGCATATCCCTCAGTTGAATTTGGAACAAAAAACTGGAAAATACACAATAAGGATTCATCCTTACAATGTACATGTGCATGTATGTAATTAAAACTTGCTCTCTCTTTTGAGGCAAGAATGGAAAAAGACAATAATTTCTTTAAGAGAGAGACAATATGTCATAGATCAAATAGAGAAACAGATCAAATGGTTTGTGTTTAGGATAGTTACAGCTAAGGATAGGCTAACCATGACAACTACCACCTGTTTTAAATTCCTTTATTTACCTTTTCTCTTCTTTTCCTCTTTCTCTTTCTTTGCCATTATTCCTCCTCCTCCTCCTCTTTGTCTCAGTCCTTCCTTGTTCCCCTCGTCAGAAAGTGGACCGTTTTTAGTCTCTATGACTTGACTCCGCCCGGCCCCTTCCCTATAGCGTCTCTCCTCAACCTCGCTATTAAAATGGACGTGTTTATGTCCGCCTCCTTTAATCGTCCTCACAAACTTCTCCACAATCAGGAAAGCAATGATACCGGCCAGTACCCACAACCCAACCATCATGTCCTGGGTATGGTTGTGCCCCCCATGGTGATGGTCACCATGATGATGATGGTGCTCAATCGTGATAATGGTCTCCATGGTGATGGTCGTCGTGGTGATGTTCGTCATGGTGATGGTCTCCGTGGTGATG